TTGCAGCTTTGGGACAAGTGATTCAGACCCTGGATCTGTGTCTGGAGCCAAACGGGAGTGTCTGGCTCAGCAAGACAGGGTGCTGGAGTCCTGAGCTGGCAGGGAAAACAGAAGCAGGGGTAGTCTTTGCACATCGGGTGGCAGCTCCCAAGGGGGTTTCTGTGATCCAACCCGTCACAGGAGAGATCTATCCTTAGGAACCCTAACCTATAGAAAAGTAGACCCTAATGGTTGCAGGAAGTGAAGCCAAATCACTGCTGGCCTGATTCAATGACTATTTAAGTCATTGGAAAGACTCCCACTGGTATCCCTGGACATTGGATCCAGCCAAGCTTTTCAAACTTGGGACATCTGAGGTCTGGCACCTCAAGGCTTGATGTCCAGAGATGCTGAGCACCCACAGCTCCCACTGATGTCAAGTGCAGCTGCTCAGCTCTTATGAAATCAGGCATCAAAATTCGCATGTGGACACCTCAAAAGGATCTCCATTGGCTCAGGGGGAGTTTTAATCAAATAAAGACACCAGGATCCATCCCATGGAAAATTTCAACCCAACATACCAATGTTTTGGAAAGTTATGATGAACATGTGAAGACAGGACAGAAATGAAAACTGATTTGCAGCCTTATCTGTAGTGGGAGTGACCAGGCTCCCTATATGATGCACATGTCCACACAACAAAATAAAGGTACATACAGGGACTATACCATGGTATACCCATATTCACCACTGTCATATAATTATGATATATTTTGTACAAAGTATGGCTTGTGAGGTATTATTCTAAAAGTCTTACTTTGCCAAACATTAATATCTCATTTGATTGTATGTGCTATCATTGTATGTGAAGTTATGAAGTTTTACTGTGTCTGTGTTACTAAAAGATGTGAAGTTGGGAACACCCACAGCTAGCCTTTCAGGTAAAACAATGAAGAAGCTAGACAGTGCTAATCAGCAAAGACAATGGACCATGGAAAAGGTTTGTCCTCATCTGGGGGCGTTTCAGCCAGCCTATGAGTAATGGTTGCTATGACTCAAGGGCATGTGACCAGATCACATGACACTGAACTCCATTTTGGTACTTGTATTTTCCCACAAACTGGGCTGGGAACTTAGCTTGGAACAAAGGGTTCCCGCCATATGGAGAAACTATATAAGGTGGGGAGAGACATCATGATTTGTCTTCACTCCCCCACAACTAACACCTGAAAGAACCTCTGGAATGGGGAAAGGGGACCCACGCTGCAAAGCAGATGCAGCTTGTGCCTCAAGAATCTGTAAGCCTGCTTGTATCATCAGTCAGGGTGAGATACTGCTAATTCAAATCCTATCTATCTAGTATATTAGTCTCAGTTTGCGTTTTTATTTATTTGCCGGGTAATCTGCTTTGATCTGTTTGCTATCACTTATAATCACTTAAAATCTATCTTTCTGTAGTTAATAAACTTGTTTTATGTTTTATCTTAACCAGTGAGTTTTTTGAGTGAAGTGTTTGGGAATCCTAGCTCTGTAAACAAAGGCTGCTGCATATCTTCCCCACATCCAGGTGGCAGCAAATTAATTAATAAGCTTGCATCATACGGACCCTGTGCTGTGCAAGACAATATAATTCTGGGTTTATACTCCAGTAGGGGTGCAAGGCTGGGGATCTGGGAAGTTGTCTGGGGGCCTCCTGTTTGTCCATGAGTGGCTTAGGTAAAGCACTCAGGTAACTCAGTTGGGTATGTGGCGCCACCTGCTGTCATGTTGGGAGATAACCGGGCCTGGAGAGGCTGGCTGAGTCACCAGCAGAGCAGTGTGAGAGAGGCCAACTCAGCTGAATTGTTAGGGGGCACAGTGGTTCCAACAGCTCCCAGAATGCACCTTGGAGGTAACAAGCCGTCACACCTACCTCATCAAATCCCATCTTGTCTGGGTGTTTTGGGGGAATGGAGATGTATTGCGAGGGCTCGAATGGAGGATGATCAACTGAAAGAGAGAATAGAAACATCCACAGTGGCTGGTTACTGAACTGCATAGTGGCAAAGAAAACCAGTCAAATTCACTGTCATCACTTTTCACTGTTTCCCCTGGAACAGAGAGGCACCTAGATGTGGAGTGCGATGCTACAGCCTAAGCAGCATCATGTGCCAGAGGAGCGCCCCGCGAGTCAGAAAGCCAGATGCCACGGAACTGCAAACACCCAAGAGAACAGTGTATCAATGCACATGTTGGAGAGCACGTCTTTCTGGCTGGGATGAGAGAGGAGCCCACGTTTCAGATCTGGCAAAATTTAAATAATGGTCTGGTGGGGGGATTGCTGCTGGTGGAGCTTTCCTGTTGCTGTGGGGTCTTATCAGGGGGAGGAGGTGGTGAGGGAATTATAGGTCAAAAAACCAGTAAAACCCACAGCTCTAATAATGATTTTGGGGCCACACTGCCCCTCCCCATTGCTGACCAACCTTCAGGACTGGGGCAGAGGGGTTTGAGAACTCCCTGAAGACAACCCCATGGAGTTTTAAGGAAATTGTGCCCTTCAACGGGAGGCGGGGGTAAGATGATGTGAAGTGGGCAGGGAGCAAGGTGTCCTAAACACCATAGACTCATGGGATCCACATGGAAGTACCATGCCACTAGATCCACGACCTTGCACAAATGGTTGCCCCACCAAACCTATGCACTGACCTCCGGGGCAGCACAGCTCCAGCAAGCACCTTCATGCCATTGATTTGAGTCCTGCCTGAGCTGCTCAGCAGCCAATGCGGATCGTTGCTCCTCTGGCTGGGAGGAGACTGACTATTGTATTTAATCTAATCATCTGTCTGGTATTTCGCTGGCAGGTTGGCTTCCTTTATTTGTTATTGTGTAATATTGTGTTAAATACTCCGATGGATAAACAAGGAGATTTTGCACAAGTCCTGGCAGTGCTCACTTCTAGTTCCACACCAAGATTCTCCCTGTGACTGGTGCAAACTGGGGGGATCCAGCAGGAGCTGGGAGGGAGCCACACTCCTATTAACCGACCGCGACACCACTAGGAACACAGCCAGCACATGGGGATAATAAAGGAGGGATTTGGAAGCCCAGCTCCTATTAATTTTTAATGCCCAGATCCCTTTAGGTGGCTTTGAACATCTCAGCCATGATTTTTAATACAGTCTTTAAGGACCTTCTTAGCATAGGAACTCTTCCCTTCAACTCCCCTGAGAACACAGCTGGGCATCTAGTGAGCAAACTCTCCCCCACACTTCCAACAACACTTTTACAGAACCCCAGTGAAAGTTTTACCTGATGCATTTCACTTCACCTTGAATGGTCCCTTAGAATAGATGCTAACTACTGATGCTAAACTATCCGTTTGATCTTGTCTTTAGCTGTGATGCTCAGAGTACATTTCCCAGACCTGAGGAAGAGCTCTGATTAGCTCAAAAGCTTGTCTCTCACACCAGCAGAAGTTGGTCCAGTAAAAGATATTAACTCCCCCACCTTGTCGCTCTGCAGGTCAAGCACAGAAGCAACACTGAGACAGGTGGCAAAGAGCCACCATTCAACAAGAAAGTATTCGGCATCCCAGGGATGGTTCTGCAGAGATGGGGCAGGCTCTGACTTACTCATTGCCTCGATTGTCACGTGAATGAAGTTCTCCACGTCTTCCTGTAGTGTCTGGTGCAATTTCAGTGGCACCGGGAGGAAACCATAGCGTTCTCTGTTGCAGATGTACATTTGAATGCCTGGGAATAAAGAGAAAATGGAAACAGAATCAGGTAATTTACCAGGCTGCTTCTCAGCGTTTCAAGTGGAGAAAAGGGAGGTTATTTGGCTATAGTGAAACCCACGCTATGGACCCCAGCCCCAACGGGTCCCCTCTCTTAAGCAACCACTTAAAAACCATCAGTGCAGTTTCTAGTATAATTCTGTTTGATCTTCAGCTAATGACCAACTTCTAGGCAACCGATTTCTCCACATCCCATAAGAAGAGATTTCATGGTATTTTAAGTTGCCAGCCTGTTGTTCTCTCCTGGGGGGAGCCCATCTCAGAGCCCAGAGGAGTGATCTTGCTCACTTTCACACCCCTCATACTGTAGAGACCAGCCCTACAGCAATGGACAGCGGTGACTCCTACCAAAACCGGTCTATGCCACCCCCAAACAGATCAGAGGCGGTGAGGCAAAGAGCTCTCTGCTCCCCAAAACACCGAGTGAACTGCTTGCTTAGTGCTCCCACTTCAGTGTGGGAACTGGATTCAATGCCCACCAAAGTCGAATGGGAGTCACTCCATTAGCTTTGGATCAGGATAAAAGAGCAGAGCTGAAGTCTCAAACAGTTACATTTCCAATGGACTAAGCTAAATAAAAAGTCCTTGGTTAGCATGGAGGTAAAATACATTAGGGAGTGATGGTGGGAGGTATCAGTGGGGATGCTGCAGCCCACACTTGGCACTGGCATCTCTTCTAAAAACACATTTTAAATTTCACAAAATATCTTCCATTCTCTTCTGTGAGCCCTTGGTTCCAAAACCCGAGCATGATCCTGCTGCCTTTACTCACAGTCAAAGGGACTGATGTGAACAAAGGCAGCAGGATGGGGCCCCAATGTCTAAACATACAGGAAGATACTTTCAGATTGCAAGGCGCCAGCAAAGTAAGAGGATCCCATATTGCAGGTCTCAAGCCTCTCAGGGAGAGTCCGAGAGTTTAGTAATAGCGTCCAAGCCTGTGGGGGAGCGAGGGGGGGAAATGGCCCAAGAAGCAGGGGAATGTCCAAGTATCAGAAGTGCTTCCAGCTGCAGGCATCTGCATGCCCTGCTGGTCTGCAGGCATTTCCACCAACTACCGACAGAGCAGCACTCCCCGTTGACAGCGCACAAAGGCTCTGTTGTTATCAGTCTGCACAGTTACGATTTCTTCCCTGAGATAAAGCAGCTTGGTATGAAAAAAAACAGTAATTCTGAGCATCCAATATGTATAGCTGGTGAGCTTGAATCCATCCTCCCCTCTGCCCTGCCCTGCCCTTGGGAAACTGCACAGATCCATTGGCAAAGACAAGCATGGAAAAATACACAGCTCAACCAAAGTCTCCCCGTAGAGGCAAGGATCACACTCTGCCCTGGCTTGGCCAAATTCTACTTTGTTATACTGGTGTAAATCCAGAGCAACTCTACTGACTTACTCCAAATGTACACAGTGTAAACAAGAGCAGAATTTGACCCATTGACTTCAGTGGGAGCAGCATGTGGTCAGCCAAGGACAGAAATGTGTCCAGACAGGCATTACACCTCTACCCCGATATAACGCTGTCCTCAGGAGCCAAAAAATCTTACTGCGTTATAGGTGAAACCGTGTTATATTGAACTTGCTTTGATCCACCGGAGCGTGCAGCCCCTCCCCCCCCCAGAGCGCTGCTTTACTGTGTTATATCCGAATTCGTGTTATATCGGGTCGTGTTATATCGGGGTAGAGGTGTATTAAGCTGTAAAGCAGCACCGACAGGGTACAGACTTGAATTCCATTCCTGACTCAGCAAATTACTTGCTTTGTGACATTTTGCACTTTGCTATTAGTCTCTTTGAGCTTAAATTTCTCTCATCTGTAAAACTGAGATGATGATATTTATCAGTGTTTGTAAAGCACTTTGAGAGCTATGGATGAAAAATGCCACAGAAGTGCTAAGCATATTATTATCAAGGTTCCACTTCTTACCATAGCCAAGAACCTGCCGAACGATGGAGGGAAAAGGAAGAGCCCAAAGAGTATTCTATATGAGAGAAACAAGCAAGTGGAAAATACTAAGATGCTTTTTAATAACAAAAGACAATAAAATATTGCACATCTTTGTCCTGCTCACAGGTTTCCTTATCCTCTGATAAGGATCTCAAATTGGGGGGTTGGGGAGAATGCACCAAGCTCCAACCTCATATTAGATTTCAAAGTCAGGGGGGAAAAAATACATTGCTGATTTCATTCACTTTAGATTCCCTAGCAATTCACTATGAGCAAAAGCCTAGTTCTGCTGAATATGGGAGTTTGTTAGAGACTTCAATGGGACTAGGATATGGCCCTGTGTCATTAGTAACTCATTAGGCAAAAAGCTGTGAATATATCTCTATGAATCAAAACAAAGACCTTGCTTAGAGAGGTAGGGCTTGATCCAAAAGGCAGTAAAGCTGACGTAAAAGTCCCATTGCTTTCAGTGGGCTTTGAATTGTGCCCTTTGTCAATTACCTGTTGTCCGAAGGCTGTTGAAATCCAGACACTCACAACAATGGAAAAATTGAAACTTGATATATTTTTAAAAATATAAAAAAGCTCTGATTTTTAAAAAACAAGCTCACAACTGAAAAATAAATTAAAAGCAGCTACAACCTGGTGTGTCAATGTTTTAGATTATTAGTGGCTAGCCATAATCCCTAGGATTTTTAATCAAGTAGAATGGTCTGCTTTCGTGACTGTTATGTTTCTGCCATTATAAACTCCTCTCCACAAGTAAATAGTGACTGGATTCCTTGCCAAACCACATTCCGCTGTCAGGAGTCATTAAGGCAAATGGAAGAGTAAAAAAATACTACCTACTGACATTAATGGGTTTGACACTGATCTGATCAACCAATTTTATCTGGCTCACTGATCATCACTCCTTACCCTCCATTGTTGAACAGGCTTTCAACTGTGCAGCTCTCTGTTGTTCCAAACAATCTCTCTTAACAAAGGATAAAGTTTTTATCTACCTTGAAATGGTAGCACTTTGTGGGGAAATATGCCTCCAATTCCTGTTACGTGGGATAAAAACAACCACTGCCACTGAGACAATACGAGAAACACATACAGTATATGCAGATATATTATTATTATTAGCAATGCAGTAGCCCAGAAGCCATGCTGTGCTTGGGGCTGCACATAATGCTGTCGAACACATCACACCTCGACAATAAAGTATCAGGAAGGAAAGGTCACCTGGTAAAAGAGATTTTGTTCCTGGACTGGTTGGCTCACTTCAGCTTACAGGCCCATTCAGCAAAGCACTTAACTCATGCTTTACTTTAAGCATATGAGACTTCCCATTGACTTTGATGGGATCAAGCCCCAGGAGCATTGAGAGGGGGTGGAATTTGCCCTCTAGAGCTTCAGATAATGGTTGCTGCAAAACAGTGGTCTGATCAGAGATGGCTGATGTTATGCTTGGCCTGTGCAGAAGTCATCCTCATGGTGACTCTAGTGAAGTAACCAGAATTATCACCCCAGGTGAGGAGCCTAACCCAAGCTGCTAATGTTTTCTGCACGTCCTGGAAGAACAACATACAAGTTGTCCAAGGTAACAAATGGAGACAAATAGACTGGTACAAACTAGATTGTTTAAGTAAAAGAGCCGTGCTATGGGATCTGCCAAGCTGCTGGGGAAGTCACAGGGCAGCCTGACAATGCACTGAAAAGTTCTAGAAGAAAATGTTAATAATTAAAAATCACCACACTGTGTTCTGATTGGTTAATGCTATTGAGATGAGGCTGTCAAACCTTCTTGGACATTGCGTACCTGGTGGGGTCACTCAGTGGGAGGAAGGGGGATACATGGACTGGATGGAATGAGCTTTACCATCATGGCTGCCACGCTCCTCTCCCCCCCACACAGTCTCCTGGAACCCAGTGATCCACCAGACACCACTGGGCCTTCGGCATCCTGATTCCCTTGCTTCATCTGTTCTTTTCCTTCCCCAGCTTATTTCTCCTCTTGCCTCTCTCTCTCCTTTTTTCTTCACACTAAAGCGTCTGGCTCAGCCAGCCAAGAGAACTCCATCTGGTGCAACACTGCAATGAGCCTGTGACCAGAGAGGCAGCTACTGCCTCTTGTTGGAGGTGGTTTTATTACGTCAATAGACGAGCTCTCGCCCACCGGCATAGAGCGGCTACACAAGCAATCTCACAGCACAGTTGCATCAGTACAGCTGTGGCGCTGTAAGCGCACTAGTATAGACATGCCCCGAAAGAAAACAGAATAGGACTCCAACAATAACAACAGCTCCAGACCATCTCAACTAACTTCTTCCCTCCTCCCCTCCAAACGAAGTTCATACCATCTTTAATACCATCTAAAAGACTGTCAAACAGGGGTTTGTCCCTTAAAAGCTCCATACAGCTGAAGGGAAGGGAAAAGGGATACCGTTAAGAACAAAGCCTCACTTAATATTTTACATTTCAGATGCTTTCACTGCTTTTCCTTCTTTTGCTATACCTTTAATGAAAGGTCATAAATGTTCAAACGAGCACCTTTGTGCTTTCTTCTCTGCTGCCCCACATGCTTGGCAGGCATTTCTACATGAAAATCGGCAAACTTACCTCATTATCCACCTGCAAATCCCTCCTCATAACCTTCCTTTGCTATGGTGCCTACAAAACGCTTGACGACAGCTAAGCTGCTGGTGTGCTGGGAGCCCTGCCTGTCATGCTGACCAATGCTGTCTCATTGTTTCCTTGTACTCCCCTGTCTGCCTGTATCCATCTGTTGTCTCTTGGCCTGTACTTAGATTGTAACCTCCTGGGGGCAGGGACCATCTTTTTGTTCTGTGCTTGTACAGTGCCTAGCACAATTGGGGTCCTAATCTGTGACTGATGCACCTACATGCTATGGTAATACAAATAAATAATAAGTAAAATATAATACTAAATAAATAATAATAATTAATAATGGTTGTTACTGTGACAGATACTGCAACTGGGGAGAACATATTGTATTAAGTTTG